AACCAAATGAAGTCCTAATTGATCTTAGACTGGATAGGCTCGATTAGTAGAGTATTACACTACGGGCAAGCCTATGGTGCATCTTTGTGGCATGTGAATGTTTTTTTGGAGAGTGAGCGTATTTTGACCATCTGAGTTCCTAATTGTTTTTAATCATATTGATTGTGGAACTACTCTCTTGTGTGGTATGAGGGCATGTGATTCACAAAGGAAAGGTAAGTCTTGACTCTTGTATAGAGTAGTTTTAGTAAGTGCGAATATTGCATGGTACGAGAGATTCGACTGTTGAGGCAAAGGTTGTTCACTATTAGGTGCAACTTTGGTAAATTGTTCAAGGTGTGAGTCTTTAAAGGAAAAGCTTAAGGAAGAAACTTTGATAGAGTGTGGCGGATTGCTAGAGGACTAGCAACGATTTAAGTGTGGGGTGTTGATATTAGGCTATATAGATGATATTTACACCTTAATATTACCATGCTTTATTGTTGTTTTATCGGTAAATTGATAACAAAATGCTCTAATTGGTGTTCTTTTGCTTTGCAGGGAATAATCTAAGTGAGGAAGCACTACGGAGTGTTTTGGAGTCAGTAATGTGAAGAAAACGCCCAACCAAGAAGTACCCGAGCATAAAGAAAAAAAAGGACTGAGGTGAAATCCACCGCGACCGTGGTGGAACCGCAGTGGAACCGCGGTAGATCAAGTACTCGAGGCAGAATGTTCAGAGTTCACCGCGATCGAGCCGCGGTCTTGCCGCGACCGCGGTGAACTGTTCACGTACCAGAAAATTGGGGACCAAAGTGTAATTCGGGGAAAACTTGTTCCAAACCCTTATAAACTTTAGAAGCTCGCCAAGACATGTTTAAGCTTGTTTTTTGACTACTTTGGAGGCAAGAACAAGTGTGTGAAGAGTAACAAAACATTAGAGTTCTTCTATCTTCTCTTTATTATTGCAATTACCCATTATGAATAATTTAGTAGTTTTATCTTGTTTTGTCATGAGTAGCTAATTTCCTTGTATAGGGTTTTGATGGAACCTATTGAAAGATGAACTTTTTGTTATATTAATATAGTTTGCCCAGTTTAATCTCTATTTGTTTAACTATGTGCTTGTTGAAGTTAATTGACAGGATCCTCAATTAGTTGTGCCTATTTAGTGTGCACAACTCGGGAGAGAATGCATATTTAGGTAATTGTTGAACAACACCACTCTCAAAGTATATGAGGGATCAATAACCGAGGGTTTAAAGGTGGGATTAGGGATAACGAAGCCTTGGGTACAATCTAAAGTGAGCTGTAAGAAATAAAGCCAGCTAGCGTAACTCGGGAGAGTGCGTTTAGTAAATTGTCGTGATTACTCGGGAGAGATTTACGGTAATAAGAGTGCTCATGATTGATAGAGACTATTCGGTGAATCTATGTGAAACATAACCGGAAGGGATTTCATCAATAGGGGAAATCATAACCTTAGATCCTTCTCTTAATTATTTAGAACTTAATCATAGTTAGTTTCCANTTTCCCGTTGCTTATTTACATTCATTCTTAGTTAGTAGAAACATCATCAATTGCTATTCACAACGTTTGGGAAGTTGATTCCGAAGAATTTAGTAAGTCTAACAAGAGTAATTGATAGGTTAATTCCTTGTGGGTTCGACTCTGGGCTAAATACTCAGATTATATTTGCAACGTCTGTGTGTCCTTTTTATAAGGCATAGTTGGGCATGATCAAATTTTGGGGTCGTTGCTGGGGAATTAACGGTGTTATCAATTACAATTGAAAGAAATACAAAAATTCTTAGTTTAGTCAGTTTTCTCTACACCAACCTATACATTGAAATTTTAACGTTGGTTGACTTGGTTGTACAGGTGCATGCCTAGAAACTCATCAAGAACTGGTGAAGTATTTGAAGCATTATCAGATCCCGAGAGAGTTTTCAAGGCCTTGAATCGGGCAAACTGGAAAAACAACCAACAACAAACAACTAAACAATTCGAACCAGACATAGGAGATCACGAAGAAGACCCAGCTGTACCAATAGCACTAGTGGCACCTCTTGTGCCAGAGGCTGCTCTCTATGACTGGGCACAACCCACAGCTAAAAATCTGGCCACAGCAATTTTAGTCCCGCAGATACATTCTCAGTGATAGGAGCCCAACGTAACTCTGGAAGCAATCAAGCTGTTATTGTTTCCATTCTCAGTGATAGGAGCTGCCCAGTCCTGGCTAAACTCACTCCCTATTAATTCCATAACAACTTGGGAGGAGTTAGTCAAGCAATTTGTGAACAAGTTCCACCCACCCAACAAGACTGCTCAACAAATTGATGAAATTTTGAGTTTCAAACAGAAACCAATGGAGACACTGCATGAAATATGGGAACGATTCAAAGGGATGCTGGTTATATGTCCGTACCATAGTATTCAGGATCTGATGTTGGGGCAACGGTTTTACATGAGATTGTCAGATAGCGTGAAGGGTATTGTTGATGCTTTAGCTGGTGGAGCATTTTTTAGCAAAACATGGAGAGAATGCCAGAGTCTACTTGACAAGATGGCACAGAATTCGGGATAGACAACCAGGAATGCACCTATCACTCCAGTGGTTCACTCAGTGCCCTTAGATCTATCCAATNAATACTCAGATTATATTTGCAACGTCCGCGTGTCTTTTTTATAAGGCATAGTTGGGCGTGATCACAAAACATGCCAAGTCACATTAAAAGGCTAATGAAATCGTGCCACGTGTGCAAGTGACATGTTCTGGCCAATCAAATGCGGCCTTGTCACACTTCAATTTGATTGGTAGGAAAGAGTTTGTTCTTATCATAACTCTTCCCTTCCACAACTATACATATGAGTCTTCATAACCTAGAAAAGACACAAGAAGTTTCAAGCTTCAAGAAAGAACGAGCTCGTGGATCAAACACTGCAAATTCCTCCACAAGTTTCAAGCTTCAAGCAATCAAGTTCAAGCTCAAGAATGAAGAATATATTAAGTTCAAGCTCAAGATCGAAGAACAAATCAAGGTCAAGTTCAAGCAATCAAGTTAAAGCTCAAGAACAAGATCATCGTTCGTGGCAATAACTACATATTCAAGATCAAGCTCAAAGACCCTTAAATTTATTTACTATTAAAAGAATAATCATAGGATTCATAAAGATTGTACACTCATAATATTTGAAATTAAATACTACGATTGTTATAATATTTTCGGTCTTGATTTTATTTTCTTGATGCAAATTTATTGTCTACATAAACCTTAAACAGTTGGGTATAAACTTCAAGCAATTGTCATGAACTTTAGACATGGGGTATGAACTTTAGACATTTGAATATGAACTTCATATTTTTTGGTATAAACTTTAGTCATATGAAATTGAACTTCAGATATATGGATGTGAACTCCATACAGGATATTAACGTTGGATATTAAATTCAAATATTTGGGTATAAAATCCAGATATACAAATATGAAGTTTAGATATTTGTGTATGGACTTCATTACATTTGTATTTGAATTTAAAGCTTAGCAATCCCAGCTTGCCTGACTCCAAATTCACACCATTCGCCTCTATATTCAATTATATAATTTATCAATTAATTAAGAGATTGAATCTTTTTAATGTGACATTAATTTCTCTTAGTTGAAACAATAACAAAGTAATTGTCATTCTTACCAAATTGTAATAAAACTGCATCTTACCATATTACTAGTAATTCTATATTGCTTTAGTAAGCTAAAAATTTAGTATGAGTAAAACTTTTTTGCCGTTACATGATCTATTTTTTCTAAAACATTTTTACAATTACATGGTTTCTTTTTCATTTTCTTTTCAAGGGTTAGTGGCATATTTTTCTTTAAAAATATGGAGTTGGTGCTATTTAATTTATTTTTCCACTTTCCATCTAATATAATGGAGCAATTGCAGCTATACCCGTTTTTTGGGTGATGTATTAACTTATACCCGCTTTGTAAAAAGAATTACAAGCGTACCCACTTTTCGCGTAACTTCAGGCATACGGGCCTGAAGTAGCAAAGACAATTACGCAAACTTCAGCATTCTAGTAGACGGGCCTAAAATAGCAAAAATTGTTGAACTAAGTGTTGGCTGAAGTTTTTGTTTTTTGTTCTCTATTTGCTGAAGTTTTTATTTGTAATTGTTGAACTTAAGCATTCTAGTAGCTGAAGTTTTGTTCTTTGTTTACCGGAGTTTTTGTTTGTAATTGCTGAACTTAAGCATTCTAGTAGCTGAAGTTTTGTTCTTTGTTTACCGGAGTTTTTGTTTGTAATTGCTGAACTTAAGCATTCTAGTAGCTGAAGTTTTGTTTTATATTTGTTGAACTTCAGAATTCTTAGAGCTGAAGTTTTAAAACAACAATGACAAGTTGTCATTAAGATCAAATTGCTATAATGGAATTATCAAGAAATTTGAAAAACAATAGTCCTATAAAACAAGATGTAGGTTGATGCATAACGGCAGTAGTTTCATACTATTATTTTCTGCCTCGTGATGCCAAATTCATGACTATTGTGCAGGTGGTTCTTTAAGGGGCAGATGACGGAAATATGGATCTGGTTTTGTTGATGGTATATTCCCAGTGCTAAGCCCAATTGCTCAGCAAATTCTAACTTTTGTAAAGAAGGAAAGAGATCCAGAGAGGATTTGGTCTTCCTTGGATACTCTACGTCCAACCAATGACACTTGGGATGATATAATAAATGTAGCAGTTCAACTTCGAATCAACAAATAATGGAATCTGATTATAAATTTTGTCTCTCTTCCTCCCTTTTTACATATTCTTGGCTTCTCTCATAAGGGTATACGTATCACCGTAGAAGAAGAAAAAAAACAAAGAAGGATAATAAAGAGAAAAAAGAGTGTTGAAATTGTTTAAAAAGTGAATATAAATTAAAATTTTAAAAAAATGGGTGCAATTTTTACCAATATAGTCCTAGCTTTTTTGTTTTTTTAAAAGCCAATCAAAATGGTACGAAATCAAATTCAAAAAGATGTCCGTTACAAATAGACCCCAAAACTTCCCTTTCCCCCTAATTCCCACCTCCATCAACTCTTTTTACACCTAGGGTTTTCAGGTTACCGTTAAACCCTAAACCCTTCCAAAATTCATCCAAAAATGTGCCTATCAACAACAAAGGGCTTCGAGCCCATGTTAACAGAATCAATCAATCACTTCTTGACCTCTTACAGAAATGGAAGTTCTGATTTCTCAAATTTTCAGTCCATTTTCTTTCGTTTGATACAAACAATGCCCGACCCGCCTCTTGAAATTACTTGGTTTTACTCTGCTGTAACTTTTCACACCTCAAAATCAGCTGGTTTTAGCAAAATCATTGTCGCTAAAGACTTGTTTCACTTGCTAATTTCTTGTTCGGGTCCTTGTAACGGGTCGAAAAAGATTGCTTTGCTTGCCCCTGTACTGTACGTTCTGTATGATGTAGTATGCGAGTTTTCGCGTAATGGGTTGTTCTTGAATAATGAAATTAGGGACTTAGTAGAGAAAATTGTTGGTTATATATGTATATGTTTAGGTGATCGTGAAATCTTGAACGAGTTTGATGAGGATATTCTCTGTTTTGAGGAATTGGTTGGGGTTTGGACAGTTGATCGGGTTGGGGAGTGTGCTAAATTTGACGAGAATTTAGGGGTTTTCTTTCCAATTGTGAGTGTTGAGGTTTATGAGGGTCGAAATATAAGGCGTGGGATCAGGGATTTAGCTGGGATTGTAATGTGTGAGGTGTTCTTGCTTAATTTGTCTATGAAGTTTAATATGGGGTTTGTAAATGAGGACATCCAAAATGATGCGCGAAATTGGGCAATTCAAACTCTCAAGCAGTTCCAAAATTTTGAACTTTTAGGTGAGTTCTTGCTTCTTCTTTTTTCCCCTTGAAAGAGGCCAAGTTTCATTACTTGAATATGTAGTGTAGCTTATTGTTTTTTCCCCTTACTGTTAATGTGTAATTTTTGTATAGTAACATCACCTTGCTATCCTGACCAGTCATAAAGCATAAAAAAAATTATATCAAATTATGTAACAAGATGGACAGTAATGGCAACATAGTAGCAGGTCAAGCACACCTTCTTATGGGGATTTATGAGGATAATTGTGTCATTTGGCTCACTAAAATTGATCCACTTAATATGCTTAGATTTTCTAATAACAAGAACCAAATATATTAACGTATAGAACTTTCTTTGTAATGTCTTTCAAACTTTCTGTATATATGGGTCTTTATGATATTATGTCATGTTGTCTGCATCATATGAATAATTAAATATCATTGTTCTTGTATTTTTGTTTACTGTTCAACACTAAAATCCTTTTTTTTCACCAATCAATTGAAGAACCAATTAGCTGTAGCTGTTGCTGCAATGTTGAGAACAAATCGATTAACTCACTTCTGAAAGAGAAGAAAACCATTGTGTTGAGCACAACCTTGGTAGTCCCACTTATATTTCTTTTGCTGGTAAAACTGGAACTTATGGATATAAAGTTTGATGTGCTTCTACAGCGCGAGTTAAGTTGGTTGTTTATCACTTAAGTTGAAGGAACCTTTAATATTTTTGTACTTCTGTTGTTGTGACTTGGTTGAGGTTGTTCAATATTATTGCCATTACCATTTTACTTTCTTTAGGCATTTTTGGAGTTTGGTTGATGGTTTGTGAAAAGAAGCTGCTGCATGTGAAGTAAGGTTCAGCTACTCTTGGAATTTAATTTGACATATTCTAGGTATTCTTTGAAGAGTTCATTTCCTGGAACTCCATTTACTTTGATTGCGATTTGTTTCCGAGAATGCGTTCTCTATTTAAATCTTCCATGTGCAAAATGATTTTTTTTGTTCTAATTAATCCCACCATCTAAACGCACAGTAGTCCAATTTTCTTTATCTGTGGCTGCATATTCATAAAGTTCTCTATCTACTGATGCAATATTCTTTCCATGAAATCTCAATAGTTACATGCGCTGGAATTGTACTGTTAGCTATCTATTAAGCTGTACGCACCATCATAATAGGGTGCATTTTCAGAGGGAACTTTGTACCTGAGTGGGAAAATTAAACAGCAGAATAATGATGTTCGGGACGATACTTGGAGAAAAGCAGTTGTGTGCTTCTGGAAAACCAATCTTGGCAAATGTATCATTCTTGATCTTCCAGCATCACTTATCCTGCAGATGCCATAAATAAGCATCTGTTTGAATCTTGGTGACCCAAGAGAGAGCGAGGCAGGGAGAGTATTTGAACCTCCAATTACTAGATTCCTTGGCATTTCATATGGTTTATTTTGAGCTTTTGACTGCATTGCATGATAAAACCTTAGTAAACCAGATTAGCTGCATTTTTTGCTTGCTTCGCTTAAGCCGAGGCATGTATTTGATGCTTTGCATTGACAATTTTGGACTTGATTCTTGATCGATTTGAGTTTTATTTGTAGATCTGCTTCTCAGAATTCTGTTGGAAAAAAGGCTGGCGGTCACTACCTTATTGGTACGTATTCATGACAACCTTCATTATCGCAAAGATTTAAGAGTGGATAGCATGTGCGACCGGCCCAACCACTTCCATGCTGTGCTGTACCCCCCAATCTGTTTGTATGTGTGCGTTTGATGTTTGATACTTGTTTTAAGATTATCTCTAGTCCCCTCTTATGAAAGTTTAAATATGCAGCTTAAGATTGATTTCTTTAAGGCTGACAAGTTATTTTTCTTTTTCTTTCCAATATATTTTTTGTTGCAGAGTTCTGAAGACGCAGTTATTCTACAGAAACTATTGTATGATGCTGTGATACTGGTTGATCATTCATTTCTAGGTTCTAGAAGATGGTTTCAGCTACCAGAATCCCACTTCAGGAACTTGGCTCTACTATGGTCCTTAGTAGCTGATAACGCCATACAGTTTGCTAGGTACAGAAATTGCTGCTCTAAAATTTGAAATAAGCTTGATAACTTTTTTTCTGCTAATAAATCTGGGAATTGCTGGCCCTAGGGAAATATGTGATCAAGATAGGGTGCTTGCTTATGTAAATGCTTTCTCCGAGTCTCAGCTACCCAGCAAATTACTTAAATGGGTCTCTACTCAAGCTGGAACAGAAGAGAACCTGAGTAATCCAAAATTTACGACACCCAAAGCTCTCATAAGTACGCCGTTTATCTGGTTTTGCTAGTCATTTGAATACTTTGCATCTTTTTGGTTTTGCTTTTCTACTGGCTAAGTTACATATTTTGTACTCTTCAAAATCAACAGCAAACCTACCTTGTAGATAACATCCTACTATTATACTTATTCTCCATTGCCATTTTTGTGTCTTCTAAGATATGTTGCCTATATCCACAGAATGGCTTTTTATCATGGAAGACCAAGGTCTTTGGGTGTGTGATCATGATAAACTGAAGTTCCATGCCAAAGCAGCAATTTGTAATTCATGGCCAGACTGTTTTCTCCCTGAATCTAAGCCCGAAGGATGGACCGCTAACGAGAGAGAGCATAGGGAAGGCAAATGCATTGTGGAAGATTCATTGAACAAACCATTCTCTGCTGCTTATTTTTGTACAGATAAATTGCCTACTGATGGTGATAGAAAGCGCAAAGATCGAGTGAAGGACACAGATACAAGAGGAACACCAGTCAAGCTTGTAAAGTATAATGTTCATGAAAGCCCAAAGAAAGAGAAATTTTTTCCTTTCTCTGATGAAGATATGGAAGTGATGGGATGATATAACCAAAGCATAGATTTTGTATATGTAGCAATGCCGGGGACCCTGGTGGGCACCGCTCACAATATATATACAAAATCTATGCTTTGGTTATATCATCCCATCACTTCCATATCTTCATCAGAGAAAGGAAAAAATTTCTCTTTCTTTGGGCTTTCATGAACATTATACTTTACAACTAGGAGCAGGTCTTTCCTTCATTTTGTGCCCCTTTTGGGGGATGTATGGATACACCAGAAAGCGTAGAGAGCTACTGTTGACTGTCTTAAAATGGCGTATTATGTTACATATCTGTACTAGTTTCACTATGTTGTATGACCGTCAGCTCTTGCCCAAGTAATTTCACTTGGCTCAGATACTCACTTTTGATATTTTCTTGGAGTTTGCAACATCATTCGCAGAGAGTATACAACTCTTCTGAGATTGATCCGCAATTCTTCATCTGCATTAAGGCTGTATTGTGGCCCGGGACCGGCCCAGGACCGCGGGCCTAACGGGCCAAACAGGCCGGTTCAACTGGGCCTGGGCTCTAGTGGTGTAAAAGCCCGTGGTGGGTCGGTTCAAGACATTTAGCCCGTGAGCCCGGGACCGGCAGGAGGGCTTGGGCCGGTTCAACCGGGCCTAACGGGCTCCAACGGCTAATATTTTAAATAAAAAAAATTAAAAAAAAAAAGACCAACGGTTAGATTTTTAAAATCTAGCCGTTGGCCTTCAAAATTTATCCGTTGGCCACTTTAAAAAATAGTCATTTGGCCCCCAAACTTTTTATAATTACACTTTTTTCCAATTCTCAACTATAAATACCCTCCCATTCTTTCATTTTTACTCACAAAATCATCAATCTCTCTCTAATTTTCTTCTATAATTGCTTGCTTTATTATTGCAATTTCGTGAAGAATTGTGAAGNAACGGTCAGATTTTTAAAATCTAGCCGTTGGCCTTCAAAATTTATCCGTTGGCCACTTTAAAAAATAGTCATTTGGCCCCCAAACTTTTTATAATTACACTTTTTTCCAATTCTCAACTATAAATACCCTNCCGGATTTAGATGATACACCTACTAGTCCTGTTAATAACCCAACTGATGTCCCGCCTGACCCTCATGTAGTAACCCCTACTTTTAATAGACAACCTTCTAAACGGCCCGAAAAGTGTTTGGCATTTTTTTACTCACTAAGAGAAAAAAATAAGGCTAAGTGTAACACTTGTGGGTCTCAACTAGTTCATAAATTTACTGGAGACCGTAGCGGTACATGCAGTTTGACTAGACACATATTGAAACACCCTAGAGATAAAGCTAGATTTTTACAAATGAAAGCTGCGCAAGAGGGGACAAGTGTAGATAGTACGATTAGCCCTAGTACA